GGTTAAGGTTTTTATGTGTAAGTTTAACTTTTTAAAAGTTGATGAAAAATAACGAGGTTATTGAAAAATATATATTGAAAAAAAAATTTTTGAATTTAATTTTTGAAATAATTTTTTTCAGTTATTAGATGCACTGTTTGTGGTTATTTTCATTAGTTTTATGCTTTAATGATCTCTTTCTGGTGTCTATATATAATCTAAATCTAAATTTTTTAGATAAAGATGAAGTTATATATATATATATATATATATATATATATATATATATATATATATATATATATATATATATATATATATATATATATATATATATATATATATATATATATATATATATATATATATATATATATATATATATATATATATATATATATATATATATATATATATATATATATATATATATATATATATATATATATACTTTCAAAAATGTATAGTTATTTTTGAAAATAAGTATTTATTTGGTTTTATTGCGGAAAAGTCAAACATGAATAAAAAAATATAAATATTTATTAGATTTGAAACCACTATCTAATTTGTATCAGAATGTAACAGTGGAAGAAAAAACAGCTCCACTAATTAATAATATCATAAAAAAAAAATATTTTTAATGAATCACTATAAAAGAGTATTATTAAAAGTAAATGATCTCTGACCATTTCCCTATTTTTTTCTCAATAAATATATAACCAAATGAAATAGCAATTGGCAAACAAATCTTTTTTAAACCCATCTACACCGAAGCAAATTTATCATCGTTTTGAAAGCAACTGTCTTTGCTTCATTTGAAAAATATAAACACTTCATTTGACGTTAACTTAGCTTACAACCAATTCCTAAAATTTTTTTTTGAAATATATGACGCAAACTTTCCAAAAAGTAAAATAAATCTAAAACCGAAAAACATAAAATCGCTATGGATTACGAACAGTCTAAGAAAATCTTCAAAAGTCAAAATTATACATGAAATATTTAAAAGCTAAGACAATTGAAATTAAAACTATTTACAAGAATTATACGAAAGTTTTTAAAAGACTTAGAATCTAAAAAAATAAAAAATTATTCTAATTCACTAAAGCAAAAGGAAAATCGTTCCAAACGCACGCGGCAAAGTCTAAGAGAAATTACTGGTAACACTAAATCCAAATCATGCGCTTTAAAATATGGCATTAAAATTAATGGTTAAGATATATATGATTCTCATTGAACTGAACAAACTTTTTGTCTCAGTTGGACCTAATTTAGCAAAAAAAATTCCAAATGTAAAAATTTTTTTTTGATATCTTGTCCATTGCAACAACTAATCTTGATTCTTTTGAATTATCACTTGAGGATGCTAAAACCAAACAAGGCGAGTGATTTTGATGATATAAATAGCAATATAACTAAAAATTTAAACGGAACTATTAAAGACATTATTTTTAAAATTTTTTCATCTTCAATAAAACAAGGAGTTTTTCCAATATTCAAAGGAGGAAATCTAACAAATGTTAAAAACTATCACCATATATCTGTTCTTCCAGTTTTTTCGAAAATTCTAGAAATAACTATGTATTACAGAATTTATACACATCTTGCAGACAATCATTTGTTATTTACCCATCAGTATGGGTTAAAAAAAAAAACTCTACAGAACACGCGATTCTCCAGTTAACACGTTGTCATTGAATCGTTTGAAAAATCTGAGTATACCTTAGGCATCTTTATTGACTTATCCAAAGCCTTTGATACTATAGACCATAAAATTATTTTTAAAAAACTTAAATATTAGCTGGAAAAATTGCTGAAAATGTTCTTAAGTGGTTAAAAAGTTATTTAAGTAGTCGCAAACAATTTGTATCCGTTGGCGCTCCTTCGACAATGAATTTGCTAAAGATTACATTTGGTGTTCCTCAAGGATCAATTCTCGGACCTCTTTTTTTCTCATACATATTAAGACAATAAGGTTTCCGAAGATACAAACCTATTTTTAACTCATAATAACATCCCTACACCGTTTTAACTTATGAACCTAGAATTAAACAAGATTTCTTACTGGTTTAAATAAAACAAATTATCACTTATCATTAAAAAAACTAATTGGGTTTTCTTTCATCCACCTTCTAAAAAAAATTAATTCCTAAAAAAATGCCATCCCTTTTCTTTGATAATGTCAAAATAAACAGAGTAAATGTTACAAAATTTTTAAGTGTTTATATGGATGATAACCCTATTTCGAAATTTCACATTGAAAATTTATGCAACAAAACTTCAAAAAGTAGGAATTTTATATAAAGTAAGAAGCTTTTTCAATAAGAAAACTCAAACTCAATTATATTTCTCTTTTATTCCCAGCCATATTAACTATGCAAATATTTCATTACCTAGTACCAATTAAAGCAAACTTGAACCTTGTCATCAGAAGCATATAGCACGTTTAATAAATTTTAATGAGCTTTTTACCCATGCAAAAAACCTCTCTTATAAAAATTGAATGCGCTAAATATATATCAACTTAATGTTAATAATGTTCTATGTTTTATATTTTATGTAAAATTAATTCTTCCCCGGTTTCTCCATTTTTATGGATGAAAATAGTTTTGAAAAAATTTTCCCAAGTTTTTATTGAGCGATGTAGCTAAAACTCATTTAAAAAAAAACTCAAAGAATTAACTTTTACAATTGATGATTTGATATTATACTTTAAATATATATATATATATATATACATATATATATATATATATATATATATATATATATATATATATATATATATATATATATATATATATATATATATATATATATATATATATATATATATATATATATATATATATATATATATACTATAACTTTTATGCAATTTTTTTGGATATTTAGTATTTATAACAGATTTATGTGTTTTCAATAGACTTTTCTGTAAGACCTAACGGTCTTCTACGAGTTCTCCGCGTTCTTTTATTTTTTATCAATCTAATTTTGTAAATTTTTTGTTGTCGTTTACTTTTTTATTCTTACCTTGTAAACTTTTTTTTAATAACGAGATGTTGTTTAAAATGTAAAAAAGAACAAAAAAAAAAGGAACAAAAATATCCAATTTTGTAAACATATTTTTAATTTTTATGTATTTAACATAAGATTACAATTTATTACTTTGAAAGCATTTAAGTTATTAATGTGATTTTATGAATTTTTTCTTTAAAGGATCAAGGAGAATCTTCTGAATTTCATGATGTAGGTGCTGTATTTGTATTTGGAGGTGGTGTGGTTTATTGTTGTTTTCAGACATATCTCACCGCTTGTACGCTGCAATGTGGATTTAATTCAAAATGTCTTTATTATGTTAGATTGATTCTCTGTATTTCAAGTGCTATATTATTTATACTTTTTGGTGTTTCTTTTTACTTTTCAAGCAATGCCACAAGTAAAGCACTGAAGCATTTGTTAACTATTTGGAAGTCCACTGATCCAGGTTATAAAATGCATATTACAAGTTCTTTATCAGAATGGTTTTGTGCTGTGTGTTTATTAATTTATTTTATAAGTTTCAGCAAAGAATTCTATGAAGTTAAAATTGGATTTACTATAAAAAGAAATGAGCTTGGTTATCAAAGTATTCCACAGTTTGTTTAACTTTAAAAATATTTGCTGTATAATATACTGCTACTTCATTGTTAATTTTTTTACTTTTAATCTGTATATAAATTTTGTATTCTCTGAGTGAAATTTATAAGTTTCAAAATAGTTTTATTTTATTTTAGAAAATTAAGTTTATTTCTTGTTTTTATTTGAGAACTTGGTTTTTTTTTACCACTTAACATATAATTAAGGTTTAGTAGCCTTTTTTTCAAATTAAGTTTTATTTGTAACATATACCATGTGTGAATAATTTATTTAAGTTACATCGGTTACTTTACCATAGTATGATAAAATCCAAATCATGAATATCATATTATCAAACATATTTTAGATAATAGTGTTATACAGTGGTTTGTTTTTTAAGGTTTTTTTTCAAATATCAGACAGACTAATTTAAATATAATTTTTTATACTAATCGTTGTTCACACATGTATATGGTGTATACATGCATGGTGCATGTCCCCATTTTTTAATAAATAAAATATGTTATGTTGCTTTTATGTCTTAAGTTATAAAATAAATTTAAGACATAAAAGACAATACCATTAGACAAAAGCAGGATGTCTTTTTTGAATATTTATTTATAAAATCACTTTCTATAAATTCTTAAACATTGGTGATATTGTATTTTTATAGTAAATTCTTAAACATTGGTGATATTGTATTTTTATAGTGATGTATTTATAGCATCATGGTATCAAAAGTTTTTAAAAGCATAATTACCAATGCTGTTAGTTCAGGTTATCCTGCTACTAGTAAAATGTAACCTAGTACAATCTGATTCATGCCCTGTTGCCTTGTAGGATACATCTTTTCAGGTAAGGCTAGGAGATGCCAAATCCGACATGAAACAACCCCTGTTTGGGGCTCTCGGTTGAGTAAAGGCTAGAGATGGTGTCTTGATAAAAATACTCATCTTGGGCAGATGTTAAATGCATCTGACTGCTGTCTTGTAGAAGGCTTCCTAGGCAAAGACTTAAGGGGTAAACAGATTTTATCTGTTGACCAGCCTTGCACCCCTTTTTCATCTATTAGGCTGACACAGATGTATTTTTAAAACATTGTTTCCATTTGTTTTCTAGATGTTGAACGTTGGATCTACTTGACTCGATGCAATGGTTTTGCTTGTGTCTCTGTTTTTATGACTAGGCAACTCATTCTATTACCTCCCATTGAGGGTACAGCTCTAAAACTCAGTTTTATGGTTCTGAGGCCGGCTGGTAGTCAGGTTTCCCGAATTCTATGGTAGCTCTCAAAGTGGCTGATTCCATCAACAGCTGAGAAATATCAAATTATTAACAGTTCCATGTTGCGCATGGATGGTGCCCCTGTTTGTACTTTTGGTGTGCATTGCCAAGGCCACATTAGAGTCCTTTGTTAGGGCTTCGGGTTTATTATTAGTAATGAGGCAATTGCTTGGGCTATTAAACAGTGTACTGAGTACTATCTATGTTTTGAGTCAAGTTTTTCAACAAATTTGAAATTAAATAACGTAATAAAAACTAAAAAACACAAAAAACCACCATCATCACCAAGTTTGCTAAACGTATCATTCACTAATATTCGTGATCTTCAAAGTAACTTTTCTTCTGTTGAGTCTTATCTCTTGCAAAGTTCACCAGACCCACTTGCTCTTTGTGAGACTAATTTGAGTTTAGCTGCCTCATCTTGTGATCTTAGTGTTGATGGTTTTCTTTCTTTAATTCGTAAAGACTCCAATAGTCACATGCTTGCCCTGGGCATTTACATTCGTAAAAATTCACTCATTTGTTGAGAAACTAGGTTTGAATCCACAGACTACTCTTTTATGTGCTTTCGTTTAGCACCACTTTACTCTATCACCTTTCTCTTTGTTCTATATTGCTCTCCTTCATTTCAAGACTGCACTCTTCTTGATGTTATTTCTGATCATATTGACCAAACCCGCTTTCTTTATCCATCAACAAATATTGTTGTTGTCGGTGACTTTAATGTTCATCACACTAAATGTCTTGGCTCTAGTGTCAGTGACTCGGCAGGCATTAAAGCCCACAACTTTTGTCTTTTTCAATCCCAACTAAAATAGTCAACTTTTCAACTCGCTTTCTAGACAACCCGAATCATCTACCTTCTCCACTCGTCTTATGTCTTGTTTCAAATCCTAGTCAGTGCTTAGTTTCTCCACATTCACCCTTAGATGCCTCTGATCACAATTTGATCTCTCTAAAACTTTTATCTCATTCTTCTTTATCATCAGAATTCCCCTAGTATTGTACATCTTACAACTACCTTAAAGCTGACTAGCTCACTTTGCGTGATTTTCTTCGTTGAATAGAAATTTTTCGTCTTCCTGTTGACAAATATGCTTCTTACATAACTTCGTTGATTCAGACTGGAATGGAATCCTTTATTCCCTTACGACAATTCCAAGTCTCACTCTTCTCCATGGTTTTCTTCATATTGTGCTGCTGCAATTGCCAATCGAAACCATTACTTACATATCTATCAGCAAAACAATTCTCTAGAAAACAGACGTCTGTTTATTACTGCTAGGAACCATTGTAAAAAGATTTTGTCTAACGCCAAAGCCCACTATTCTCAGGTCATGAAATCTCGTATTTCATCACAAAAATTAGGTTCTCGTGATTCTTAGAGAATCTTTAATAGTATCAATAATAAGGGCAAGTCTGTAATTCCACCTCTTTTGTATGGTTCAGACTTTGTCACCTCACATAAAGACATAGCTGAATTATTTGCTAAGACCTTTTCATCAATATTTCACTAGTTGCGTTCTACCTGATATAGCAGCCAAACAGGTTGATCCATTGCTTGACATTTGTATCACTCTAGCTTGTGTATCTAAAGTGATTTCCTGCATAGACTCTTCTACAGCTTTTGGCCCGGACAACATACCTGTTATAGTCTTGCAGAAGTGTTCTCCGGAGCTGTTGTCTATCCTTGTAAAAGTTTTTAACAAGTGCTTATCAGAGTCTTGTTATTCCTATTTTTAATTATTCTGGAGAGCGATCTGATTTGTCTAACTATCGTCCCATTAGTCTTCTTCCTATCATAAGCAAGGTTTTTGAATCTTTAATTAACAAACACTTAATCTCTCATCTTGATTCTAATAACTTACTTTCTGATCATCAATATGGATTTCGATCTTCTCGTTCTACGGCTGATTTGCTAACAATAATAACCGATAGGTTTTATCGTGCATTAGATAAAGGTGGAGAGGTTAAAGCTATCCCTCTTGACATTTTTAAATCGTTTGATAAAGTTTGGCATGCTGGCCTTCTCCATAAGCTTTCTTCTTACGGTTTATCTGGAAACATCTTTAAGATTATTGAATCCTTCCTTTCCAATCGTAGTATAAAATTTATCCTTGATGGACAGCACTCTACTTCTTATTCTGTAACCTCAGGGGTTCCTCAAGGTTCAATCCTAGGCCCTATACTCTTTTTAGTTTACATTAACGATCTTCCAGATATTCTCACATGAGAATATCTGGAAGATCGTTAATGTAAACTAAAAAGAGTATAGGGCCCAGGATTGAACCTTGGGCCCTGAGATCTGAGGTGGCATTGTTCGCTGATGATACTACCATTTATTCTTGTCATGATAAAAAGCCAACTCTCTCTGATTGCTTAGAGGGGGCATTTGAGCTTGAAAAGAATCTCACTTCTGCTACAGCATGGGGCTCACAGTGGCTGGTGAACTTTAACTCAGATAAAACTCAATTTTTTTCAGTCAATTGTTATCGCAATAATTTAGATCTTCCTATATTTATGAACGGTAATGTACTTGATGAGTCATCTACCCTTTATCTTCTAAGATTGACTCTTACTTCTAATCTTTCTTAAAAACCATATATCAAATCCGTTGCAAAATTAGCATCTGCTAAAGTTGCATCTTTTTATTGAGCTTGACACTTTCTTACTCTAGATTCTATTCTATATCTCTATAAATCTCAAATCCGGCCTTGTATGGAATACTGTTGCCATATCTGGGGCGGATCTTCTAATGATGTCCTTTCTCTTTTAGAAAAGGTGCAAAAACGCATTGTAAACATAGTTGGACCTTCTCTTGCTGCCAACCTTCAACCATTATCACATCGTCGTAATGTTGCTTCTCTTTCTCTTTTCTACAAATACTATAATGGGCACTCCTCTAAAGAGCTAGCGTCTCTTGTGCCATCTACTAAAATTCATTCTCGTGTTACTCGTCATTCAATTAAGTCTCATCCTTTTTCTATTACTGTTCCTAAGTGCTCCAAAAACTCTTATATGTCTAGTTTTTTTCCTCGAACATCAGTTCTTTGGAATTCGCTTCCTTCATCTTGCTTTCTTGATTCATATAATTTGCAATCTTTTAAGTCGTCTGTCAAACATTGCTCTACAATCTTCGTCTTTTCTCTTCCAGTAACTTCCAACATTAATTAGTGGTTGCTTGCAGCCTTTTTGGAATCGAAGATGTTTAAAAAAAAAAACCCTAAAGAAAAACAGTATTTAGGGAAGATTTATAAATATAATTAATCAAAGATGGCTAAACTATGAAAACTTTTTTGATTTGATAAATGTAAACTGAAAATCTTACTCTACTTTTAACCATAGTTTGACTTATTTTATTGGACTGTTATTGTTGTTAAAACTGATGCAATTGGTTTTAATAAAAATAACAGTGCAATCATATAAGTAAATGTTATTATTTGCATTTTAAATCTCATAACCAAAGTTTGACTTATTTGATTGCATGGGATTGGAAATAAAACCAATCCAATATTGTTGCAGCGACTTATAAGATGAGTTAATTTTATTATTTGCATTTTAAATCTCGTTGCAATAAACACAAAAACCCATATAACCCACAATATTATAATCTACCCAGTGCAACCAATATAGTATGAACACAAAATTACATCATCTAAAATAAATGGCGCGAAAAAACTTTACACTGATGCATATGTTACCAAGCGGAAATTGGATTTTCCTTACATTTCTTAAAGATATTCAAATTACAAATTTAAAA